CTCTCATAAATATATATTTGTGTGTGTGTTTGTGTGTATATGTGTGTTTGTACACGCGTGTGAACAATTAAAAAGACAGAAGTATGTATTTACTGCTCCTTTGGGCAATGCTCTCATCGGAAAATTCCCCACCAGTGTTTATCTCCGACAGAAGTGCTGGCGTTTCCAATGGCAGCGTTTGATGGGAGCGCCAACACAAGCAACAGCACCCTCGATTTCCCTGCTGCCTGCTTTTCTGCTGACTGCTCACCGGGCGGCTGCTGCCATGGCGGAGGCGAGAGGGGGCGACCCGAAGGCAAACACGACGTTAACAGGAAGCGTCCAGAGAAGGCGCAGGAGGCAAGGGGAAAGGGCATTGTCCTTGCACCAACCGAGCGAAGGGCGTCTAAATGCTCGGAAAACACGTCGGGAAGCAGGAATGACGACAAGGCCTCGTCGGGTAGTTTGTGCCTGGCGGACGACGCCGAAGAAGGGGAAGCTCGTGTTCCTTCGGCGGCTGAGTCTCCGGGAAACGCTCCTCCACCGGGCGTCGGCTCTCCCGCCCCCCTGGTCTGTACTCCAAGCAAGAGCCGCGTAGACGGAACCAGAGAAATTCCAGCCATGGCATTCCTGAGGACGGACGCTTCCGATGTGTATTCCTGCTTGCTTGCTCAAGTCCTGTCGCGAGGACGTCCACGGACTCCATCCACCCAGAGAAACACGGCGGAAGCGCTTGCGACCCCGGCCCGTGCGAGTGCTGGCCTGCCCTTCGGCGATCGCTGCCCTTGCGATCCCAGCGCCGTTTGCCTTACGCGGGGTCGCACCGAGGCTTCGCGGCAGAACTTCGTAGATAGGACGACGTTCTTTAGTGTCCGAGCCGTCCGCAGTGCCTGTAAGTCTGCGCCGCCTTCTCCTGTGTCTCCCGGGCCTTCGAAGATTGCCTTCTGTCCTGCCGGTTCTGGGTCCAGTGCGGCCATGACTGATTCTCGACGTCCCGCTACACAGCCGGCCTTCCCTCGCGTGCCTGAGTGTTTCAACCCCGAGACACCTACTGAGGGCGTCCAGTCAGCCGGAACCACAACAGGAAGAACATCAGCTAGAGATACCAAAGCAGGAATGACGTCAGCCAGAAGTCCCACAGCAGGAGAGGCGTCAACTAGAAGCACCACAGCAGGGAGGACGTCAACCAGAAGTCCCACAACAGGAAGGACATCCAAGGAAAGGACATCAAGCGGAAGGAAGTCACCGGGAAGGAAGAGAAAGACAACCCTTCCACACCCAGGCGTCCTCACCGAGCTCGCCCTCATGAACCTCCCAGCCTCCTCGAAGACGCCGCTGGGGTGGTGGTTCCTTTCCCGCAGGCGACTCCCTAAGGCCTCCGGGCGGGGTCTCTTGGCCTGGTGCTTGTGGGTGGGCGTGTGGGCGTCGCTCTTGGTCGGGGGCGCCTCCGTCATCCCCTCCTCCAACACAACCTTCGCCCTGCAGAAATACCAGGCTGATCGAGGTAAGGAATGAAAATATATTTTTTTATTTGTCTATTTTATTCTTTGTTTTGATTATTTTTATTTTTTATTTTTCCTCCCCTTCCTCCTCATATTCCTTCTTCTGTTTCCTCTTTTCCTTCCCATATTTCCCCCTCTTTATATTTTCCTCTTCCTCCTCCTCCTCCTTCCATACCCCATCTCCTCCTAGTTCCCCCTTCTGAATCTCCTCTTTCTCCTCCTCACTCTCTCCCCCTTATCCCCTCTTCTCCTCCCTCCTCATCCTCTCCGCGATTAATACAATCGTGATTATGGCAATGAAGGTGGAATTGTAAATACGGTTTACACCAAACATGTGATAATGATGATAACACGAACAAAACGAAAATGATGATTACATCAGTTGCAGCAATCCCAAATGATAGTGCCGACAAAGGTACTTAATTAAGAAGTTTATCACGCTAATTAAAGTCACTGCTTCAGCTCGGTGTCTGGGTCCGGGCCGGTGCGACGAAACGTGCCCTCCTGACTTCTACAAGGTAAGGCCGCCCTGGTTCGGTCTGGTCTCGAATTCCTTTTGCTATTGGTGTTGTTGTTGTAGGTACTGTTGTTGTTATTNCTCTCCTTCTCCCTCCCCCTCCTTCCCCCTCTCCCTTATTCCCTACCTTACCCTCTCTCCTTCCCTGATCCTCCCCCAAACAAACAAACACAATATAAACAAAAACAAAAGAACAAAAAACCAATAAAAGCCTTCTTTCCTCATTCCTCTCCTCTCTTCTCTCTCTCTCCTCATTCCTCTCCTCTCTCTGTCCTCATTCCTCTCCTCTCTCCTTATTCCTCTTCTCTCTCCTCTCTCCCCATTCCTCTCCTCTCTCCTCATTCATCTCCTCTCTCCTCATTCCTCTCCTCTCTCGTCATTCCCCTTCTCTCTCCTCTCTCCTCATTCCTCTCCTCTCTCCTCATTCTTCTCCTCTCTCCTCATTCCTCTCCTCTCTCTCTTTCGTCATTCCTCTCCTCTCTCCTCTCTCTCTCTCGTCATTCCTCTCATCTCTCTCTCTCGTCATTCCTCTCCTCTCTCGTCATTCCTCTCCTCTCTCTCTCTCTCTCGTCATTCCTCTCCTCTCTCCTCATTCATCTCCTCTCTCCTCATTCCTCTCCTCTCTCGTCATTCCCCTTCTCTCTCCTCTCTCCTCATTCCTCTCCTCTCTCCTCATTCCTCTCCTCTCTCCCCCCCGGACCAGCACGAGGACAACGGCTGCCTGACGGAGGAGGAGTGCCTCAACCTGCACCAGCTGCTCTACCACACTTCCGAAGGCAACTATTGCGTCATCGCTTGTCCGAAACACTACGAGACGGAAGGGAACACGTGCCGGAAGTCAGGTAGATTGCCAGGTGTCGTTGTTCGTTTGTTTTCTTTTCTTGTTTCTCTTTGTTTGTTTGTTTGATTATTTGATTTATTTGTGTTTTTTTTTTTTTGGGGGGGGAGGGAGGGTGTAAAGGGGTTATGCATTCGCCTTTTTATATTGTTATTGTTGATATTTATGTCATTTTTATCATCATCTTCATCATCAGGACTATTACGATATTATCAATACAAGTGTTGCTATTGATAATGATAATAACAATAACAATAATAACAATAATAAATCTTATTGTTATTATTATGTCCATCTTACCTCCGTTTTGCTGTACCTATTTCTTTATTATATTTATGCTTCTTCTTTTATTCATATCCCCTATAAATTAATGACGAACTTTGTTGAAATTAGTGCAAACACTCATAGAAAACGAGTCTGCTACGGGCGTGAAATTATATTTTTCTTTTTCTTTGTATATTATTATTATTATTTATTTATTCATTTTCTTTCTTTCTTTCTTTTTTTTTTCTTTTTTTTTTGGGGGGGGGATATTTCTATGTTTCTTTTCTTTCGTTCTTTTGCATTTATTTTTTTTCTCTTTGGTTTCATGTTATAATATTTTTTGTTGTTGTGACGATTGTCATTTCTGTCGTTTACAATGTTTTATTACAGCTTTTATTTTTTTTCATATTTTCTATTTTCTCTTTCCTTTCTCCCTCTTTCCTCTTGTCTCTTTTCATTCTTCCCGTTTCCCTATTCTTAACTCCTCTTTCTTTCTCCTCCATCTTGCTCTTCCATTTTTCTTCCTCCCTATTCCTCTCCCTCACCCATCTCCTTCCACTTTCCTCCTCCTCCTCTTTTTCCTTCTTTTCCTTATCCTATCTTCCACCTCCTCCTCCCCCCCCCTCCTTCCCCTCCTAACCTCTCCCACTCTCCCCCCTCCTTTGCCCCCTCTTATTACCTATCGCTTTTTCTCATCTCTCTCTCTCTCTCTCTCTCTCT